GGTCCTGTCACAAAGGTGGACCTGGTTTTCTCCTGCATGCCATTCTGGTTCTCATAGGATAATCCTTCCTTCCCTCTTTCTCACCAAGAGATTAAAAACACTTAGTTTGGGCTCTGATTTGCAAACTTGAGACTCCACCTCATCTGACTGTTCTCCTTGTTGCCTTGCTCTCTGAGGAGTGGTAAGGATTTTCCAGGTGTTTGCAGCTGGTCTCTGGGCCTGAAAGGTGGCTGTGCCTGAGATTTCCTGGCTGGAATTGCCTTTCTCCTCATTGCTGGGGAAGGGGAAAGTGTTACAGCTTCCTCAGCAAAACCCAGCTGCAGAGGTGGAATGAATTGAAGTGGTGAGGTTTCCTAGAGTCTGCCTCCAAGGTGTGATAATTTGGACATTATGAGTAGGTGGACAATGAAGTAAGTGGAGGAGACACAGGGATGGCCTCATGGAAGAGGGGAAGTAAAGGCCAGCTGGCGTGGAACAGATAGGTCTCAAAGCTGACATGAGCAGAGTTCAGGAGATTGTGGTGTCATGTGCCTGTCATGAGAACCAGCACAGGCACTTTTAAATTATTAGCTTGTGGATGGACAGTGAGAGCTGTGTTTCAGGAATTTCACTGAAATTGTGGAAATGTCTCAGCTTTCAAAAGTGAGCTAATTGCTGTCTGATGTCCTTGTTCATGGGCTGCTTGTGAGTTTCAGGTCAGTTTAAACTGCAGCTATCTGAAGACCTGAAACAAACAATAATGTGGTGACAAAACATCACTTTCTGTTAGGAAAAACAGCTAACACAAAAGTCTACAAATGCACTCCAGTTACTTTAAACTAGGTGTGTGTCATGCTTTTTCTTAGTAAATTCAAACTTAAAATTAGTTGATATATGGGAAATCGAGAAACTTGAAGGTGAAGTCAGCTTAGTTCTGATACTTGTTGCTATCACTTCCCAGTAATCTTTGTTTAAACTAGTTGTGGTCAAAACGAGCTGGGTTAGATGTTCAGGACAGGTGTAGGAAAGGCAATGGTGTGGCTGTCACCATGTTTAAGTGGCAGCTTCTAGCATCTGCCTCATGCTGTCTGCTTTAAAGAGAGAACTGCACCTCCCTGCCATTTGCTCTCCACTAAATACGTATCTGAACTACAGCAGCATATTTAAAACAGTACTTAACATATCTTAGTGCTGTCCCTTAGCTGGTAGCAGTACTCAGAAAGAACAGCGTAAACCTTTACCTTTATCTTTCATGGTTACTAACAATACTCACTGCTTCTGTGACTTAGGCACTTCAGCTTTTCAAGATTTTGCAAGCCTGTGCCAGCAGCTTTAACACCAATTCAGGTGATTTGCCCTGTTTCCCACACAGCTTTGTGTAGAATTAGAGTTTTCTAACAGGGACATCTAATGGTAAAATTTATTTTATTTAAAAATATATTGTTTATGTCCTTTTCTATGTCTGCTGTTTCTGTGCTTGCTACATAATGTCATTATCGAAGCGTGAGGTCTCTGATGTTGCCATTAGAGAGTATCTATTTGTTTATCACTGACAAGCCAAACTCTTCACAAATCATAGCATGTAGTGCTTTCCTTGTGTGATTAAAAAAAATAAATACATTTTTGTAAAATTCCTTGATTCTTCCCTCCTTATCTCCTTCCTTCATACCCATCACTGTGCCTTAGTAGAAGAAGGAGTTTCCTTGGAGTAAAGAACAAGTGCATGTTACACAGGTGAAAAGACCCTGATGTGCACAGTCAGAGGCTCCCCAGTCTCATATACTGATACATCTGCTGTCCAAGAGTCATGTAAAGAAGCTGGACAAAGAGTTTTACAAGATTTTCATCGGACAAGGACTGTTTGCAGAGCTTGTGTGCTCGGGTTCCCCACAATGCCTGCAGGGATGAGAATGAATCTGCCTCTCCTGCTCTGCTCTCCAGGTCCCTGGGTTATTGCAGCCCAGATATTTAATGTTTTGTCATGCTTCAGAAGAGTATCAGGTGCAACTTTTAATGTCACTTCACAATGAAATATTAGAACATATCAGTGAGTATCTGTTTTGGAAGTGCAAGCTGCTTTGGTTTAACTGTGGGGATGCAGACACCTAAGGACCATCCCCTCTACCCAGCACTTGGAATGTACATGGAAGATTGGCTCAAATTTCTCTTTTCAATAGGAAAGAGAGATTGCTAAAACTGTCACATCTTCAGCAGAGGGACAGCACAATGGGGCTGGGGCTGGAGTGCTTGTCCTGTAAGGAAAGGCTGAAAGAGTTGTGCTGGTTTAGCTCAGGGAAATGAGGCAGAGAAGTTCATACTGGATATGTGGGAAAACTTGGGGCAGAACAATCAGGTGCTGGGACAGGACTGGTTGGGCTCAGAGATGTTGTGCAATCTCCATCCTTGAGAATTCTCAAAACCCACCTGAATAGCCTCTCAGCAACCTGTCTGACCTCAGAGCTGATGCTGCACTGCACAGGGGGGTTGGACAAATGATCTTCAAAAGTCTTCCAAATTATTCTATGATTATGTGTTTTATTACCTCTATGTGTCTATGTATGTCTGAATATATATACACACACACATATATATGTATGTATTCTGAGTAATGAGTAACTGGAGTTCTTTTGCAATGTTCTTGGATTCTTAAAAAACCCCATTATCTGTGTTGCTCAGACCCTCTAGTTGAAGGGCCAAAAATACATTCATTATGTTTCAATTTATATATTTTTAATTATAGTTGGTATTTCTGAGCCATCTACATGTTAGAGCTAGCCTGTTGGTAAGTGGCATTTAGATAATGAAGTGTTACATCCCTTTTCAAAACAGCACAATTCTGTTCTAATATATTAATAGCTGGTTTTAGCCTGTACTGTGGCTCTGGTTTTTCACTGTTCTAATACCTTTTGAATCTAGTGGGTAATTTTAATCAAATTTAAAGGACAAGTAGATGTCTCGGAAATAAGTTAGGTGCTGGGTGGAATTACCAAATCAGTTCTTTTGTTGAGGGAAAGGCAGGTACAGATCAGCAATGACATGAATTTTCATTGCAACTGTTTTATTTTGGCCTTTATGCCAGTAGCAGAGTCCTGTTTTACTCATGGTTGTAAGGACCACATGAGGACAGCTGGGTTTTTGGGGTGAGGAGATGTCTCAAGTTAGGGAAGAAGAGAGGGAACAACAGGGGGCTTGGACCTGTAGGAAACCAGGTTGATATTCTGCATCTCACTTCCTGAGGAAAGGCTTGTCAGTGATTTCCAAAGTGCTTTGGAGGAGGACACCATGATGCATTTTGTGTGATCCATGGACAGCACTGTGTGATTTCACTGATGGCACAAGACAGCAGAGCTGATTTCTAGTTCAGGGCTCATGCTTTGATATCCTGCTTTTATTGTCGGGATGCTGATAACTTGGAGGCTGAACTTCTGTCATGGAAAGGAAGACCCACATGAAATTGAGGATCTCAGTCCATATTGCATGTCACTATGGAAAAATAACATCAGCTTCTGTCTTGACAAATATGAATAGCCCCCAAATCTCTAAACAGCTTACATGGTAAGACAGCTGTAACAAGACCTGATCCCAATGCCTTTTCTCTCCTTTCAGGGCCTTTGCTCAGCTCTGTGTGGCCAGCTGGGGTCGGCCTGTGTCCAGCTGAGCTCCTCGTTTCTCCACGCAAGGTTCAGGACACAGTTTCAGGCTCTTCTCCCGAAAGAACAGCTTTCATCACTTCTCTTCCCCGTTTTATCGCGTGCTCATGGGCAGAGCAGGAGCACACATGCTGTCTCTGGCACACAAAATGAAATAACCAGTTGAGGGGGGCAGCTCCTTTTGGGAACAGTGCTGCCTTAAAATGCTTGTGAAACTAACGCCTCAGGCATCCTTGAGCTTTCTGTTTCGCCATCTGAAGGGATGCCATCAACACATTTTTTTTAAAGCTTCTGTAAAGCTTAGTCTGTTTTATGAGGGATGTGTTAGGAAGCTTAGATATTTATGTAATTATCCTAATGAAGTGGTTTTATTTATTGTTTTCTGAGGAAATGCTCGGTATTTTTGGATTCATGTTCTTCAAAGAGAGGAGATGAGTTTCCTGTTAAGGAATTGAATGTGATTTTTTCAAATGTCTTCAGAGAAAAAAGTAAACTAGAAGAGTGATTACAGAATATTGGCTAATTAGCTGTAGTGTAACTGCTTTAATTACTTTTATCCCTGAAGCCACATGACTGTGCAGATGACTAGCAGATGACTTATTAAAAAAAAAAAAAAAAGACATGTTCACACTGCAAGGTTAATGAGCCTAATTAAATATAGTTTTCCTTAGCCAGATACTAAATCATAAAGCTTGGGGGAGTGGGGGGAGAAGGGGGGGGAGAATCCAAAGACCGTCAGTTCTATTTAAAAAAATGGTTTTATTCTGATATTTAATGAAAAAAGGAGAAAAGATGGAATTGTGAGTGATTTTTCTGAATAAAGGCACTTAGAGCTAAAGATTTGATGAGACCTTACATGGCAAACTTTGAAAGTCTATTTAGAGACAATTATGCTGAGACATATTTGTTTTCACTTACCCATTGCTTTAATTAATGTAAGAATGGGCTTGAATAAAAGGTCTGTGTTATATGGAAGTTTCCATCTGCTGCTGCACATTACCAGAACCTTTGTCCTTCCTTGCCGTGCCATTTTTATTGCAGCATTTTATTTCCTATAGTAAGCTGCATGATGTCTCACATTAAGTTGTACAGAAAGGATGGAGTTCTGATTTTTTTGTTAAATTATTCCTTTTTTTTTTCTTTTTTTAATTTCTGCCTGTGCTGTGCACTGTGGTTTGAGTTCCCGCACAAAAAAAAAAATACTTGGAGATCCACATTCTGTGGTCATTCAGGGACTCTTGCATTCCATGCACAAAAATTAGGTATTATAAATTACTGAGTTGCCATGTGTCAGCTACATTTGTGGCTAGCCTTGAGTCATTGAGAACAGATGGTAAAATGTGTCAGGCAGTGAAAAGGGCTTAAACCAATGGATTTTGTCACATTTGCAAAGAACAACCAGTCAGCTATTGCTGATCAGCTGATATTTGGTGACTTTCACAGGTGAATTTGGGCAAAGCAAAAGTAGTAGCTCATTTCCACTTCCACTCTCCTTAGGCCACACCTTTTCTCCCACTATGAATTGTTCTTTCTCCAAATAGATTTATAGTTGATTATTTCCTTTAAGATGATCTAGTGTGCAGGGCTCTGACATCTTAAAAAGATTGCTTAGACCTGAGTCAGGATGCTCAAGAGTCAGGTGGAGTAGGTACAACAGCTGTATCAGACTGAATCCTCTACAAATAATGACTAATGAAGAATTAACCTCCTCATGGGTGAAATTTGTGTCTTTCCATTTAAATTTTCATATCGAACTTGGATTTTCCCTAACAGACTGGACACTGTCTTCATATTCTCCCAAAGAATTGTTTTTATAAATCATTTGCTACTAGTTGGTTTTCTTGGTTGTCTCCAAAAGTGTAGAAAGAATAGGTCAGAGCAGACCAACTGAAAGGATCCTTATTAGAGAGGGAGAAGCTGAGTTCCTTATCTAAACTGCTTCCTTTAGTTTTATCACATTTTCCAAAGGGGCTGAAAGGTCACCGTGCACCCAGCAGGGTTCAAAGTTATTATAATAAATGGGATTATGATTAAATGATGCTACCTCAGCACTTAGCACAGGTAGCAGAAGAATCATAACACAGTTTGTGTTTCCCTCTGCTATATTTTGATTTATGTATGTTTCCTTCCTCATGGACTTTGTCAAATATATCCTATGTGCCTACTGCTAGGCAAAAAAGGAGGAAAATTGTAGTCATGGTTTTTGTAGCAATTTTTTCTCACCTGCTTTCAGCAAGTCAGCTGAGCTGAGCTGCTTTGGGTGCAGAATGGATAAACCTGTGGCTTTGAAATTGGAAAGAAATAACAAAGATTTGTTGTTTGACTCACTTGCAACTTTCCAAGTTCTCCCTTTTCATTGTTGCCATGCAGTAAATCTGATGCTAAACTCTTAAAAAAAAAAATCCATAAATTCCTTAGGATCCCTTTTAAATTCCTTCACTGATTTGTTTGTTCTGCTTTTAGCTAACATTTTGTGGGTTTCACTCACTAATAGCTTGTATGTGGTAATGGGACAGTGAGTGGTAGCTTACTTATGCTCAAGACAAGATTTTTTTCAGCTGTTTCATGTTGTCCTGCATTTCCTCTGAGTCATCTTTACCCTAAATTGGTTTTTGTAAGTCTAGGAAAACTTACACATACTTTGGCTAGTATATTAGTTTTCTACCTTTTTTTTTTTTTCTATTAAAGCTATTCAGTAGGAAGAAAAAAATGAAGCATAAGATTTTTGTACAAAAATAGTGATTTTGTCTACCAGCTTTTTTTTTAAAAGTTCTAAAGCTGTTTTTTAATCAATATTCTCAAGGGAAATGCAATATAACACTGTAGTAAAGGAGATTCATAGAGTGACATGCTCTTAATAAATTCAGTCACCTGGAATTATTATCTCCTAGTACCTGTCTATGCCCATGTCCATATTCTGACCTTAACTGGTGATGATATTTGATGATTGATGGTGGTGATTTGCTGATGATTGGTGGTTAATGATTGTTGATGTTATTTTCAGAGTGTTTTTGTGGAATGCTTATATTTAGAGGAACTATTTATGTTTTGGGATGTGAGAGATTTTAAAGGTACTCCAGTTTCTTTTTCCTGGGTACTCTCATGAGCAGTCTGGGTTTGATAATATTAAAAATTACACTCTGGATTTACCATACTAAGCAGAAATTTAAAGATTCAAGAGCCTGAACCCTCAGTTCTTGTTTTTCAGTCAGTTACCCTTTGTTAAGCAGTGGCCAATATTTGATTCTTCTGGCTCTAGACAGTTTCATTATTTTAGTACATGTTGTGCATCTGCTGCTCTTTGGGAATTCTGCAATCTAGAAATAAGTCATCAAGCAATGGCAGAAGGCTTTTTTTTAGAGGTTTTTTGGGTTTTTTTCCATGCTACATGTATAATAAACTTCTCAGTCCAGGGCTGGCAACACAGTGTCTCTGTCTCATCAGCACTCAGTTAATTCACTTTTAATGGCACACAAAACATGCTGTGTGAAATACCCAGTTCACAGATCATCCCCTGACAGAATCTGAGGTTATTTGAACTGGTGGTAAGTACACAGGCCATTACAAGGACATGAAAGCACAACACTCTCTTCAGAGGTTCCAAACTTTGTACAACTTTCTTCTGAAGTACCACACCATATATTAAAAGGACACAGAAATAGATGAGGCTTTTTTTTTTGTTTCTCTCCCCAGAACTTGGCTGGATCTCAAAAGTATATGTGAATCGACCTGCAGTGGTGAGGCATGCAGAACAAATTAAAAAATGGAAAACTCTGAAAGGTAATTGGCAAGTAAGTGTTCTTCTTATGTATTCTGTTCCTGTATTTTTAAAGCAGTCATTCTCCCTCTCCAGGCTGTAATACTGAATTTTTTTCAAGATATGTGTAAACTTAAAAGATGTGCTTGTCCATGTCTTATTTTAGTAATTTGTATTTGATGGTGATGGGATGGAATAAGGTGACGCATTTATCCAAACAAGTTAAAAACCTTATAACTCATGACTGGCAAAACTGCAAATGGATTTAAGTCATCTTTATTCATGAGTGGATTAAATTGTGTATTACTACCCCTCCACATTTATTCTGTTTTCCAGACAGACTTCTCTGCATGCTGCCTTCTTATTTTTTAATTTTAAAGCCGTAAGATATGATCATGGTCCCTGTCAAGTTTGACCTACCTGGATGATTTTTCTTTGCTTAAACGTTCTCAACGTATGTGATTTCATTGCTTAACTAGTTTTTTTAGCTAAAATTCAAAAATCCTGACTGGCTGTAGTATTTGGTGGGGGGAAGTAGCCCACAAATGTTAGGAAAACTGACTTTTCAGCTGCTGAGATAAGGTAAATGGTTGGTTATTGTCCATCTTAGTATAAAAAGACAAACTGGCTCTCCATTCACCAAGCAACTGTTCTGCAAACAATGCTTGGGATGCCTCCCCTCTGCACACTGAACAAGTTGGTTATGTGCAACAGCAGCTGAAAACCTGGAATAGGAGGAAGGAGATGATGAAGAATCAATCTTAAGAGTGAAATGTAACAGAACAAAGCAAGAATCATTTAATTGTACTTAATTCTTAAACAAAGTTGTTCAAAATAATGGATATCGTGCAACCATTCTGGAATGGCTGAAGCTGTGTTCACAATGAGCACAGATTTTGGGATTACAGTTTGGGGATAATTTGATGTAGGTGTAAGGTGCTACTGGAAGGTGAGAGAAAAAGGTTTCCTGGCAGCTTTTCCTTCCTGAAAGTTTGTGCTTTGTGTGTTATGATTAAATTTTTAAAAAATGGAGATAAGCAGAGGAGATTTAGACACCAGCTCAGCATTTCTTTAGAGTTTGTTAGGCATAAAAAGTTACTTGATACCGAGTTTATCAGCCCAGTGGCTCTGAGTTGGGAAATAGCATCAGTGAGAAGCTCCAGATGGTACTCCAGGACCATGGCTATCCTCAGATACCACACGTGCAGTAATGTAAAAACAAAGTCTTCTTTTGACTGAGGGTACCATGTAAATAACAAATAGAGAGAGCTACAGGCTTTGATTACAGAGATTTACTGGGGAGAAAGGGATTTAGTGTCACTCTCACAGCACAGCTGGAGAACAGATGTTTATTCCTAACACTTCTCCCCTCTCCTGTGTAGAAACAGGAAAGAAAACCAAAGAAAGAAACCCTGAAACACAGAAACCCAAGCAAGGTTTTACTTTGAAGGGTGTCAGAAGCATCCCTCCTCTGTTGGAACATTGTCACAGCAGGGCAATCATGTCCTGTTTTTTTAACAGAGGTGATTTTCAACCTGTGCATGCTTGAATGGAAGCAGCATCACAGATTCAAATTCTGTAGCCTGTTTCCCAAAATACTCAATAGGAAAAGCCTTTTAAAAACCCTGAAGTTTATACCAGTTCTTGAAACCCCCTGACTACATCTATCTTGACTGTGATTCATGTCATAGGAGACAAAAATTCCCTCAAACAGAGGATAAAAAAATCCAAGTGAAAGTAACATAAAATTATTTCTAGGGAGAACCCCTTTCAAATAATTATGGGATGAAAGGAGGAAGCAGATACAGTCAGTCAGGCTTAGACTGACAGAGGCCAGTCCATTGCCATTGCAAACTCTCTCCCTGTACAAGTGCCCTGTAAGAAAAGTCACCTTTGAGTGAAGCCGTCACTATAAATGAACATTTTCTGGAAGACCTTCAACAGATAATTCAAAATTATGTCTTAAGCTCAACTTTAGCTCAGCAGAAAATAGCACAAAAAATTTTAGTTAAGCTTCTGTTCCATTTTTTGTTTAAAAAGTCTTTCAAAATTCTGAAGCATTTCCTTCTAAAGAATGCTTTAACCTTGTCACTTACCTCTTGCTTTTGGGGTTTTTTTCTTGCACCAAAATTATGGATGTTTTTTATTCCTGATTCACACAAAAGGAAGTGGATCCTTTTGAGATCCTTTTTTAGGAAGTATCCTCTGTATCATTAGATACTGCTGAAAACATGAACAAATACCTGCCAGCATGTCTATCCTAAGCCATTATTTGCTTATATGTTACATGCTATACATTTCCCCATTGTGAGGGTGAGAGCCAGGCTTCTGATTCCTGCACTTCTAAGGCACTTTGGCTTCGGAAGTGTAAACAGAAATGCTCCATTCCTTGCTTTGTTCCCTTTGCAGGCAGCTTGGCTGCTGAAAGCTGTCACCTGCATAGACCTCACCACTCTCTCAGGCGATGATACTCCTTCAAATGTTCAAAGGCTGTGTTTTAAAGCAAAGCACCCTATCAGAGAGGATCTGCTGAAAGCCTTGGACATGCATGATAAAGGTATGGTAGCTTCTGGGGTGTGTGTTTTCTAGAGGAAAGGTCTGCATTTCCTCGTTATTTTCTCACTTTTCGGAAAGGATGTTGGTCCACTGTTTGAAGTGGTGTGGACCAAAGGAGAATCAGGCCTCTGACTGAAGCCACACACATAAAATATCAAAGATTAGTCTTTTTTAAAAACTTGGATTTATGAACTCCTTAGAGAGCTGAAGTATAAAATATGAGGTCAATTATCTGGGAGTTTGAGAGAAGAGCTAGAAATGCAGTAGGGCTGCATTAACATAAAGACTGCTCAGTTGATGCTGGGCTCAGTCTAACTTGCACAAGTAAGAACAGAGCTTGGCAGTGCAGTTTCTCTTGCATCACTTTGCTGATCAAGCATAACTGTGATCAAGTCTTAACTGTGTGTGTTGGCATTAAACTGTGAGTCTGTCAATACAAATCTTGGAGTTTTAATTCCTGCTTATGCAGACTTGCTCCCAGGGTCAGGTGAAGGAATGTGAGAGAGGAAACAGTGTGAGAATTTCCTGAACCATTTGAGCATATATTGTTATACATTGAGATGTATAACAAAATCCCTGGTGTGGTGCTTAAGATCCTTGTAGAACACAGGAGTGGGAGGTGAGGATAATGCACACGTGCTTATGGAAAAGGTGGAATTCTCTGAATTATATGAAAAAGGGAACTGTGGCTTTTGCAGGTATCACTGTTGGAGCAGTTTGTGTGTATCCTGCAAGAGTCTCTGATGCAGTGAGCACCCTCAAGGCTGCTGGTTGTAACATACCAGTGGCTTCAGGTATGCTTTATTTGAAAATGTCCCATTAAATAATTTGATGTTATAAAATATGTAGAGAAATCCAGGAGTTTGGACTTGCTTTTGTGTCAGGGAGTAAGGTGATAAGGTAACAGAAGGAAGGGAATGGAAGGATGATTTTCTTCTGGTGTAATCTTTTGTTGTCTTCCAACTTCAAGCTTATCAGGAATGCCAAGTCTTTTTGCTGGAAGCTCTTCAAAGAGGCCTTTAAAATATATCAGTGTTTTTCTCACCAGGATAGAGGAAATTGAGATAGAGTGCTGGACAAGTATCAGTATACACTAAGTAGATGATGATGATGATGATGATGATGATGTGAATTCTAATAAAGGTTTCTTTTCCCTATCATATTTGGCTTTTAAGTGTAATCCTGTGTCAAGGTTTAGCCCAAGCCAGTAACTGTGTGCCACACACCTGCTCAAACAGCCACTTCTGGAGGAGAGATGAGAATTGGAATAGTAAAAGTGAGAAAATTTGTGGTTTCAGATGAGAGCTGCTTTTTTGTGCACTCCCAGCCCACTGACCAACAGAAGGCCTTGATTCTGTGTTGGGCTGGCACTACTGTGCACTTACCAAACCATCCCTGGAGAGCCAACACTGTTTTCTGCACAAATCCAAAACACCCTAGCTACAATGAGGATAACTATTCCAGCCAAAAGCAGCACATCCGACAGGCTGAGCTTCAAGGAAGTTGTCAGCAGAGCCAGGGGTTGTTGCCTGCTGAGCAGCCACAGTGTCAGGACATCCAAAACCTAACAGAGTCGGCTCTTCTCCAGTCACCACGCATGAGGGAGAAGTCCTGAATTTACAGGAAGCAAGAAGTAAAATAAAGGAATTACTCAGGTTGGAAGGGAGCTCTGGACATGATCTGGTCCAACCCCCTGCTCAAAGCAGGGGCTGACTTTGAAGTTGGATTGTCATCCTGATTCTTAAGACTTTCTAAAGCCTTCTAAGTTTACATTATTTTGGAGAACTTTCCCACACAATTTCTGTAAACAACATATTGTTTACATTCTTTTATGGGGGTGGAGAAAACTTGATATACTAGTAGTTTGTCCAATATCTTTGGAGAGGTGGTCCATTCACTCTCCAATACAATGTCACCTTTGGGAAAGTATAAAAGTCAGAGTCAGATAATAAACTTTCTTCTTTACCTTGCTAATAGCAGGTGGTTCGCGTCGTGCTTTCACGTGTCCTATAGCGACATTAGATCAGGTGTTTAATGCTAAGATACATGTGAGTTTTTTGTTCTTGTTTCATTGCTGTGTAGGGGAAAAATATGTACTAAATGCATTTATATGTCAGAGAGAAGGAAAATCTCTGACAGAGCCATTATTTTTTCAATTTCCAAAGTTACCTTTGGGTTTTGTACATAAACATCATAAACATAATTTTAAATAGAACTCATTGAAAGCAATTTTCGCTATATTATGATTTAACCATTAAACAACATTATTATGTTTTAAGTGAAGATACTGCTAAAAAGAATTGGAGAAAATAAAAAAAATATATATTGCTTCATATCAGATTGTTTGCTGTTCTGGAAAACAAAGACACGTGAAAGATCTTTTCAGAAGATGCACTTACCTTGCTGGTCATTGGTTTTTGAGGGTAGAACCAATGTTTCTTATTGGTGAAGAGAGAGTAGGATGAAGTGCCTGTAGATTTTTTTAATCATGTCAAGCATTAATAAAAAAGAATAACATTCAAACTTTTTGCTGTATTACTGGTATTTTCAATTTTATGGTCTATTTATAAAACTTTAACACATTCATAAAGCATTTCTTCCTTCTCTCTGCACCCCTTTCATGCTAGTGGCTGCTGGGTTTCCATCTGGACAAACTCCTCTGGAGACAAAACTGGCTGAAATAAGGCTGGCAGTGGAATATGGTGCCCGAGAGATTGACATTGTCATTAGCAGGAGTCTGGTGCTGACTGGCCAGTGGGAAGGTAAGTAAAAAAGTTCCTTTGGCAAGGAGCCTAAACCTTTCTATATGCACATGCAGGGTCTGTCTTTGTCTCTTCCCCAAATCTCTCCATCAATCCTTGAAGAATTTGGTCTCTCCCCTCAGAATAACTGATAATCTGGGGCTCTGAGCTAAATAAAAACTATTTAATCAATTTATGACAAAGGGTTGCATTTTTTTGAGAGGAATCCTGTTGGAAGCTGTGTCAGGCTGGGCAGGCAGAATGCCTTTGTGGTTTGAAAATTCAGTTCTATTCCCTCAGTGACTTTAGAGAATTTTGTGTACAGCATTCAAAAAACTAGCAAGTAAAGCCTAATTATTTGAAGAGTTTTGTTAGAAAGCCCAAGGGGCTGCTAATGTAGATGATACCTTTTTAAATATACATGTTTCATTTCTTGACAAATACACATATTTTAGTTGCTTTCTTTTTGCTGAAAGTTGAGGGTACAAATTGACTCTTCGTATTATTATTGATGTTCTGGCGTCTGTAGACTAGTACTAATTAGTAGGAACAATAATGCTGAAGATGGTTTTTGCTCTAATTGCATCCTTAATGTACTGTGAATGTTTGCCTTAAGTGCTGACAGTGCTCCTATAACTAATCTCCATGTGAAGGTAGACACATCTACAGTCTTGGAATGAATTTTCCTTTTATCTGTATAATGCAGTGCCATAATATCCTGTTTGCTTGGCAGATTTTATAGTGAAGGCCTGGTGCCTGACTTTATTTAAGGAAATAACAGAAATCATGGTAAAAGATCATGTTTTCTGGTCTTCTTTCAATTAACAGTTAGAAATGAACCAAAAACCCCCCCGTCTTCCTGCATCTGTGTCTTCAGGACTGGTTTCCTTGCTGTCATATCTTGGCCTCTTTTGTAGTATTTGCAGTCTCCATACTTTTGATCTTAGTTATTTAAGGATTCATAATTTTGCGTTTTTTTAATATGAAGGAGAACTCAGAGTAGAAATGCAGGGCTTGGATTCAGAGAGAGAGTTTGGATCATGACTGAAATGAGCTGGATGTGTGTTGTTAGCTTGCTCTGCATGGGAGATGAACTACTCTTTGTGGTCACAAATTACAAGGGAGGAGTATGCAGACACAGCAATGATAGATATGATTTAAAGCTGTCATTTTACTAAATAAGTAAATTAGGGATGGCTTTTTATTTGGTATGCATATTTTTATCCAAAGCTGAAGTCTTGACAAGGTTGAAAGCCATCCTTTTTTAATATATATCTTACATATATATGTTATAGATACTTATATTGATAAAAATAGATAGAAATAAAATATAGATATTTTTAGATATATAAACTAGATATAACTGTATGTTCTATATATACTATAAAATAATTATATATATTATTTATATATAATATAGAAATATATTCTATATAATATATATATTTATTCATATATATTTATATTTATATTTATATTTATATCTATATTTATATTTATATTTATATTTATATTTATATTT